AAACTTCAATACCGTTTCTTTCCACTCGGAGGAACCATCCTTGGATTGACCACCCATCCTCGTCCCTCTACATCTGTATCCATTTTCACCTAAATCCTCCCCACTTTCTCGGTACCAAGTACTTCCATCTTCATTAGTCCCAGACTCATTAACATTTTCATTTAACAAGCTGATGCCCCAGTCTCTCATTTGCAATACCAGTGTCTACAAAGGAGTAAGCAATGAACCAATTTAGCATACATGGATTTAAACACCACTGCAGGTTACAGCAAGGTACAAGTATAGCTCATTTCACAACAACTCAACAATGCATTTTGCAAGCTAGGTGCTAGGATTACCTCTTTTTGGCGGAGTGTCACGGGACTGAGGGCCGTCGGAAGAATTTTTTGGGGTACACCGTGGGGAGAATTTCTCTTGTTTAGAAGCATATCCAGGTCTGTGACAAAATGCAGGAATCTTGAGAAAATGGAGAGGGAGGGAGCAAAAGAAGAGGAAACAGCTGATACAGTTACGTACTCAGGAGAAGCAAAAGGCATTGTAAAAGAAGCATGGACTCGGAATCTGCGAGGGCTCTTTCTCCTATCTAGTCGCCATTCCTATGCCTTCCGACCGAACCTCGCCGCCTTCCAGATCGGAATCTGCGAGGGCTCCAATCCATGAGATGACACCATCCTCCGGAGCTTGAACTGGAACGGAGCCGCGAATCCACTGGAACTGGCCTCCATGAATCACGAAAATGCCATGGAGAGTGAGGATGAAACAGAAAAACCCTAGCAGATAAACCTCCGCCGGTAATAATGGAAATGTTTTTGAAAGGTTTTTAGAGATAGCGAAGAGCTAAGCTCTTATATAATCTTGGATTAAGTGGGAATTAACAAGTAATAATAATTAATTAATTAATTTAAGTGTGCGCCCAATTGAAACGGGGGAGATTAACGGGGGAGATTTTTCCGGCGGAATCTGTGCGGAGTTGGGACATTTGGAAATTGAAACAGAGGGGACTTCGGAGGAGACGAGAATGGGAAGGTGCGGAAACTGCGGGCGTTGGGGAAGGAGGGGGGAGGGATATCCGATCGGTTCGGTGGTGGTCCCACCGTCTGGGATTTTGTATCCACTACGGTCATGGCTTTCTGGCTCGGCCATGTGGCACGACTCTTCGTAACGGTACAGAAGAAAAAATAAAAACCGTGAAAAAACAGAAAATTCGTGACGCAAATAAAATCTCAAAGTTTTGGAAAGCATGTACCAACAAAAAAAAAAAATAGTAACGAGGGGTTATATCAAGTAGTAAGCGATTTGTTTCAGTTTAAATAAGATTTTGAATTTGAGATTTTGTGTACGTAATAATTTTTGTTAGGAGACTCACCCATTATTTTTAAGTGTGCAACCCGAATCGATCTGGATTAGTCGAGACGAACCCAAAATACCAGACAGGAAATCAAAAAAAAAAAAAAATAAAAGAAATGAAAAACAAATCTCTTGCTGGTTCGCCTCTACCTTCTACCTAAACATCTCGAGATTTTACACAGGTAACATTTAAAAAAAAAATTTAATTAAGGGTATTATTTTTTAAATTAATTAAGGTTATCACTTCAAAATTTTCTCATTAAGGAAACTTCTAACTTCCTCTACCTATCTTACCCAATAAAAAGTATATTTATTATTTTTAATTAACATATGTATTAAAAATTAAAAAAATTTTAATTTTATTAATTGTTGAGTTTGTTTAATTTATATTTTAAGAATATAAATTTAAAATATAATAAATTTATATTTTTGTTATTAATTCACCTGAAAATAAGTATAATAAATATAAATAATAAATTAA